TAAGTTTGACTGCTGGCAAGGCACATGTTGATGGCTTCATCTGAAAGCTTTGATGCCGGCGGAACCTTGGGTAGCGCATCACAAAGTGGGCATCGCTCAAAGCCAAGGGCGCGCTAGGCACCACTGGCAACCAACTCACAAGGGAAGCAACACACCCGCGCAGGTATTGAGTGTGCGAATTTAGTGACTCAGGACATTGCCATGTGACCATTCTCAAAACTAAGGACCAAAGGAACGCTAGTACCAAGGTGAAACAACGTGTTGGTTTTCCTCCTCAGGACCTCTTCGGAGCTCCTTCCCTTGGCCACCTTAGCCCCCCGCTACATTCAAGGACTCCTTGGACTGCAACGTCAGCAAAAGAGATCTCGTTTCATCCTGCGGCTGGCAAAATATGATCAAGCTGCTGGTTTATGGCAATTCACAAGTCAAACCCCTGCGGTCCCTGCGTGTCAGAATTTGCACGCTTGACTTCCAATCAACTTGGGAGATCTCTCATCTCCTTTGATCCGTGTAATTCATGAATTTCCAGGGTGTGTTGGCCTTAGCCCATATTTGCGCACGGGTCCTTGCTGCAATTTGCTGAGACCGCCAGCTTCGAGCATTGCCTCGTATACTGCATGCTACCAGTGACTCTTGGGATTCATGACGGCTGGAGAAAGAACACCACATTCGCTTGGGGCTCATAATGTTCCGCCAACAGCTCCAGAAGAGCGTACCGCAGCACCGCACTGTCACACACACAGAGCAACATGGCAACCGGCTGCGAATCCGCCATCGGCGTTGCACTTGGGCATGCACAGGTCCAGGTTCCACGAGACCTGAGAACATTCCCCGACTACTGGGCAAGCCTATCCTTCAGCAACTTCTCTTGCTTGCCATCACTTGACAAAAGCCCTCGCACCATGCCGATATGCAGCTTTATGTGCTCCGGGTCACTTGAATTGAAGCCTGTTAGATGCCTTGTGTGGTTTGCCGTGACTTCCGCCATGCTCTGTTGATCTCTGCTGCCCTTTGCCCTGCGTGGCGAAGCAGCCCATCCAGCTCCATGGACCGTTGAAATCAAGGGTGACTCCTCACGTCACACAGGCAACACCGGCCTGTGGCAAAATGGTCCAAGTCTAGCCCCATCTGCGTTGCAAATTCCCGCTATGCGTCCCAGCTGTCTTCGCCCTGAGATGCTGCTGGAGATCCTCCTTCGAAGCTTTGAGCCGCGACCTCAGAGATGCAAACGTCTCTGGCTGAGTGATTTAGACCCAAGGACCCTTGCAGAAAGTGTCGCGCATTTGAGAATCTTCTTCCATTCAATCAGGTTGTTGAGATCTCCCCAGCTTTGGACACGTGTCATCAGATTTACCCTTTTCAAATGGCAGCATTCATGTGCTCAACCCGCCATCTTGATGCAACTTTGTTTTGATTCCATAAGAAACCCGAGGCTCCATAAAGGCCAGCATGCGGATCAAACTGATTTGGGAAGGCACCTGACCTATCTGCTCAAGCGTGACATGCAAAGGACCTCATGGCTGCCTGACTCCAAGGCTCTTTGTGATTGCCACACGTCAGCTGGACAGGCGACGATGCCCGCCGAAATGCTGGGGTCACCGGCAGAATCTCTTGGGTCTGCTCGCGTTTATTGCTCAGGGTTTTGACCTCAGCACTCAGATTATTCTGCATGCCTCGAGTTGGTGATTTATGTGCAGCCCCAAAAACTAAACCTATTGACCCGAAGAACTGCCACTACGGGGGATCATACTCTCCCCCAAATTGCTGCCTAACCGAACAGGCAACATGTTTAGAGGATTCCCCTTTGGGGGGTTCTAAGGGATCTCTCGCGACTGTTGAGAATCTCAGCATTGGACCCAATTTCTCTCTAAGCTTGTCACATTGCTCTTAGCTTTGTGCACCTGCTCCTGTGCCAATTTCTGCTGCTCAACGGCCCGAGAGAGGAGAGAGAGAGAGAGAGAGAAAAAACAACACTTTTTGGTTTTGCAAAAACAGGGCCTCCACAAAGGATTGGTTTTGTTCGGTTTCCTTCACAAATCCCGATTCATCTAAAAAGAAGAAAGAGTCCTGCAGCTTAGGAAACACTTCATTGTTGGTCACTTTGGGCATCCCCAGAAAGGCTGTCCTGCATGCGGTCCATGGCACTCAGGCGCATGTCCTGCGCGTGTCAGGCGCTGGCCAAACAAGAATTATCTGAAACAGTGGAGGACATCTCAGGGCTCCATCACTTGCCAACGAAGAAAATCGGCTGACTCCCGGTGGCAGGGCACAAGTAATCGGAACGCAAAGCATGAACAATAGACTCAAAGGAATCCGCACCTATGAAAAATCCAATGAACACTGCTTCCTCTCACCTTTTTCAAGGCACGTCCTGCTGCACTGCAAGGGGCAAGCGTTGGTCAAACCTTATCCAAGTCAGCGGAGGCAAGCCAGGGGGCCCCATGACAGAACTGAACATACTAAACCAAACGCCTCGATGTGCCAAGGCCTCGGCCGTTCCAGGGAAATTTCCGGCGATGCCTCCCAATCATCTAATGACCTGGGCATGGTGCAACAATGCACAAACAGGTATGTCATTTCTTGACGGTTGACGGTACGCTTTCGGGGTTGTAACACATTGAAAGGGAAGTGAGACCGGAACTGAATCAACATATGTACATATATATATATATACACGACATATGTATGTATACACATAAAAGCCATGGATCGGTATATCCCGAACAGCGAATGCTTGAACAGCGACTCTATTTCGAGACAACGCAAATGTGCACAGGCCGGGAGCTTGAAGCTCTGTGCAGCGCACGCTTGTTGGGACTGGATCTCCTTCTCCATGTGCTGCAGCAACGCCTCCATGCGCGCGATATCTGCTTGGCCTTGGGCGAATGAAATCCTCACGCGTCATTGAGCGTCTAAAATATGTTTCTACTCGCAATGGGCACGGGTAAATTCCACTATATAGAGCACCTGTTTTATTTGACATTTAGAGATTCCGTTGTGTCCCTGTCATGTGGGGTTGCCTGAAAACCCAAAATGGGTAGTTCGCCTTTCGGTTTCCCTCTGCAACCATGCCAGGGTCCCTTAATGGAGGCCGTTGCAAACCTTTGCATCTATAGCCAATGGAGTCTCAGTGCAACGCACGCTGCGCAGGAAGCAAGCAATATGTCAATATGCATCCTGGCCCTCTTGAGCAGCACCAGTTCTGTGGAAAGAACTGAGGTTGGGAAGTACCCCTCTGGTCTCAAACTCATAGACTGCTCACATGTACTTGGCAGCGGGCTGTCTGCCACTCCTCTTTCCAGCTCTATCTTCTGCTCCAAGTGGTGGGAAATGCTGGCCTGCATGCCTGGCAGGTTGAATTGAAACTTGCCCGCAAAAGGGCGCAGGCAGGCAAGCAAACACCAAAAGAACGCGGCGGGGGCACAGGTGTTGGTTCCTTCCCGAGCTACTTGCACCTTTTCCTTTACTCTCCGCAGGAGCTCGACCTTCCGGCTGCGCAGGCGTCACAAGCTGCCGCGCATGTCCAGCTTGTGGACCAAACAGGCGCAAAGCCGAGGAATTGAAGGGTACGGCCAAAATCGTTTTTAAGCAAGAAAGCCTGTTCAAACATCCGCTTGCGTCTCTACTTCTACATTATGATTTCTTAAGATGTAAACTGAACGAGTGAGTTAACGAACGGTGAAGCTCTTCCTCTATTTCTTCTTCCCCCTCTCTTAGATCCAGAAACCCAAAGATAAGGATGAGAGCCGGAACGAAGTGGCAGGTGGCTATCTTCTGTCTCTCTTTCATCTGTCCCATTGTCTCGTTTCCAGGTTATTCACAGTGAACATGAATGATATGACAGATGAAAACAAAAGCAATTCCTGCTGTAACAAGGGAGGCATGCGCTCATCTTCCTTCGCTCTTCACCCTCCCTTTCATCCTCCGACGTGGGTGAGGGAAAGGGTTTCCATTGCTAAAAGGTCTATTGCTTGCTTGAGGTCTTTGAGGTGCTGGCCGAGTCTTCCAGGTATTTGGCAGCATCTGCCTCCAGCTTTTGGGTCCTCAAGCTTGTGCCAACTTACGCGGGCTCCCTATGCGGAACTGCCCTGCGACCACAACGTGAACGGTTGACATGTAACATCAAGCAAAAGGAATGCCATGCCACACCACTCATCACAACTCGACATGGACTTGATATGTTAGGATCCTTGCTGTATCTGTCCAGGCTTGAATGACAATTACCGCAGCCGTCTCCTTGTCAGTAGCTCATTAGTATGCCTTGCCTGGGCGACGTAAGAGCTTGCCGCGCCATGCCACGCTTGCTGTTTGCTTCTCCCAAGGCTCGGTTTGGAGGCTACACCCGTGAAACAGGCCGTTGACACACATGCTGCAACAAGCACACACACAAAACTGCCAAATGCACAAGGCATCCAAGCCGGATCCTGGACATCTGGGCCAGCTGCACTCCGCCGCACGTTCTCAGAAGCTCCCTCTTCACCTCAAGCTCTCAGCCGTCATTCTCACTCATCGGGTCTAGCCGTCCAAAGGAGTATCAATGATTGCCAAATGATCCACGGAGCAATTCGGATCCAACCGGTTTAACTCCCGGGCTGAGCACCCGGCCATCTGGCTCCAAACTCCGATGTGTCGATCCAAACTTCCACTCGGATTTGCCAGAGCTCTGCCTTGCAGTGCCAAAAAAGGTTGCCGGGGTGTGACGGGTGACAGGGTTGAAAACAACATGTCACACTCACAAGCCCAGCCACTTGCAATGAATCGCTAACTGCAACCAGAAGCGCACGCACAAACACACACACACAAAGGTTATGCTGTCCTAGTTTCCAACGTCCAACTCACATACCCAACATGCACTCATATACAAGGATGCTGTTTGGGGTACGTACCTGTGTTCCACAGCTGGCCAGTTTGCAACACAATACGCTCGCGCGGCCATTGGCAAAAATATCCATTGGGAAACCAAACCACCACACCCACACACACACACACATGCAAGCCAATCGGCACAACAACTTTTTCGGCCAGCCTGCATGGCACGATCTGAAGCAACTCTGGCGCACGAGATGTTTCTCACGGCGACAGGCTATATCACAACAAATGTACGAAGCCTGCGCCAAACTACGCAGGCTTCTTGAGATCCCGGGTCTCAGCTGCTTCTTTTTGCGAGCTCAGCTTTCTTTGAGAGCTCTGCTGTAAGAAGCACACAGTTCTTCGGACATTTCGCTTAGCGGAAGACGGCTGAGGGGTCCATAGGGGGCCCGTCGGACATCAGGCTGTTGGAGTCATGGCCAAGAACGCCGGCCTGGAACGCCAAGGGCTGGCGTGACGCCAAGTCCCAGCGTGGCTTCGGGCCCGGCTGGGCTGTCAGGGAGCCTCGAAACGCCGCGGTCACAAAGCTTCAACAAACTTCGTCTACGTGTCTTCAAAACTGCAAAGCATGCTTGAGAAACAAAACCCTTCGGAAAAATCACGATGATGCAGGAGGTCTAGATGTTGCAGACCTGGCATGTTGGAAATCCAAGAAATCAGAATCCCTTCCCACCCTCAAAGGTTTCTCTCGATGGGTGAGGTTGACACTGTCATGAAATTCATGAAAGTTCTGAGCTACACAATGTGGGATATTTGCATGCAATGTCAGACCATTCAATGTACTTTGTTGCGTGGCCCTGCAGTAGTAGCCGGGGGGCTCCTCAAGAAAACGCTCTGTCAGAAAGGTTTCGGCCTGAAGCAAGAACAACAACTTTGCCAAAAACCAATGAGTAGCAATGCCGACAACAACAACAACAACTACCACAACGACGACCACGAGGACTACGACGACAACAGCAACAGCAACAAGAGAAACAGCGGCAGCAGCAGCAGCAACAACACCAGCAACAGCAACAACGGCAGCAACAGCAACAGCAACAGCAACAACAACACAGCAGCAACAACAGCAGCAGCAGCAACAACAACAACAACAGCAACAGCAACAGCAACAGCAACAACAACAGCAACAACAACCTCAACAACGACCACGAGGACTACGACGACAACAACAGCAGCAACAACAACAGCAGCAACAACACCAGCAACATCAACAGCAACAGCAACAGCAACAGCGTCACAAACAGCAACACCAACAGCAACACCAAGACCAACAACGACACCAACAATAACACCAACAACACCAACAACACCAACACCACCAACAACACCAACACCAGCAATACCACCAACACGACCAACACCACCAACACCAACACCAAAACAAACGCCAACACGACCAACACCACCAACACCAACAACAAAACAAACGCCAACAAGCACCAACAAGCACCAACAAACACCACAAACGCCAACAAACGCCAACAAACACCAACAAACACCAACAAAACAGCAACAAAACACCAACAAACACCAACAAACCACCAACACAATACCAACAAACACCCACCAACAAACACCAACAAAACACCAACAAAACACCAACGAACACCAACGAACATAACGACACAAACGGTACCAACGACACCAACGACACCACCACCACCACCACCACCACCACCACCACCACCACCACCACCCCCACCATCACCAACACCAACACCAACAACACCACCAACACCACCACCACCAACAACAACACCAACACTACCACCACCACCACCACCACCAACAACAACAGCAAAAGCAACAGCAACAGCAACAGCAGCAGTAACAGCAACGGCAACAACAAAGAACAAAGAACAAAGAAGAAACAACGAACAACGCGCAGTGAACGGCAAGCAATGAACAACGAACAACCAACAACACACCACAAACAACAAACAACCAAAAAACAACAACAAAGAACAAAGAACAAAGAACAAACCAAACAACAGCAAACAGCAAACAGCAAACAACAAACAACAAACAACAAACATACAGAAACAAACATTAAACAACACCAACAACGACAAACAAACACCAACAAACGCCAACACACACCAACAAACACCAACAAACACCAACGAACACCAACGACACCAACGACACCAACCACACCAACGACACCACCACCACCCACCACCACCACCCCCACCCCCGCCACCACCACCACCACCAACAACACCAACACCAACACCAACACCACCACCACCAACACCACCAACACCACCACCACCACCACCAACACCACCAACACCACCACCACCACCACCACAGCGAACAGCGAATAGCGAACAGCGAACAACAAACAACACACAACAAACAAGGTCACGGCGGCGTTAGCCACCGTGAGGCCCCGCAACACCATCATTGCATCGGTCAAAGCTAAACCTATGGCAATTTCCAGTGCGATTTCAAGAGTGGCAAATTGAGGCATTGTCTCACGTGCTGAATTTTGCAGCACTTTTATGTTAATTTTCTGCATTTCCCAATAGCGCAGCACACTTGCTGCCACACTTCCCGCGCAGCAACTTGTTTTCGGCTGCCGTTCTTGCCTGTCTGAGTGGCTCTTCTGTCTACACAAGTTGAAGACAACGCACGCCTGAGCTTCTTGTTCTTCTGTTGAACACGTCTTCCGGCTCAAACAACTTCAAGTTGACGCAAAAACAGTTCGGTTCGCTTGAACATGTTTATCGACTCAAGCCACTGCAAGTCGAACAGAACAACCGTTGGGTTCTGGTGGCTCTGACAAGGCAGACCTGTGGGCATGAAATCCCAAGTGCTACAGTCAGCTCAAATGTCCTTGCACTTCGGTGTACGTCCGTCTATGTGAGGTCAGTCTGTTTGCGCGAGACAAGCAGCCTGTGCAGCAGCGTGCGCAAGGACGGTGTGTGCACAGAGGTTCCGGAACGCACGGCCGGCGTGCGCGTGCTGTGTCTTTCTGCGTGTGTGTCTGCGTTGGCTGACGCAAAGTCAACACGATTGAAAACACCCAACCACCCCCCCCAACCCGCCCAACGCAAAAAAGTGGCTTGAGAGCCCATGGTTGCTAATCACGCCGTGAGCACAAACAACAATCAAGCAACAGCAAACAGCAAACAGCAAACAGCAAACTGCAAACAACAAACAGCAAGCAACAACAAACACCAACAAAGACAAACAAACAGCAAAAAACGCCAACAAACACCCACCAACACCACCCTGACCCACGACACCAACGACGACAACAACAACACAACCAACAACAACACCAACACCACCACCACCGCCACCACCAACACCACCACCACCACCACCACCACCACCAATACCACCAACACCACCACCACCGCCACCACCGCCACCAACATCACCAACACCACCAACACCACCACCAACGCCAACAAGCCAACAAACACAAAACAAGAACAAGAAACAACAAACACCAAGCACAAGCACAAGCACAGGTAACAGGCAACAGGCAACAGGCAACAACAACAACAACAACAACCACAACCACAACCACAACAACCACAACAACAACGCCAACAACAACGCCAACGACAACGCCAACGACAACGCCAGCAACAACGCCAACAACAACGCCAACAACAATGCCAACAACGACGCCAACAACAATGCCAACAACAACAACAACCACAACAACCACAAACAACAACCACGACGACAAGAACAACGACAAGAACAACGACAACAACAACAACGACAACAGCAACAACAACGACAACAAGAACGACAACAAGAACGACAACAAGAACGACAACAACAACGACAACAACAACGACAACAACAACGACAACAACAACAACAACAACGACAACAACAACAACAACGACAACGAGAACAACAACGCCAACAACAACGCCATCAACAACGCCAACAACAACGCCAACAACAGCGCCAACAACAAACACCAACAACACCAACAACACCAACAACACCCACAACACCAACAACACCAACACCAACACCAACAACACCAACACCAACACCACCAACAACAACCAACACCAGCAACAACACCAACAACAGCACCACCACCAACAACAGCACCACCACCATTAAAAAAACACCACCACCACCACCACCAACAACAACAACAAACAACAAACAACAAACAACAAACAACAAACCACAAACCACAAACAACAAACAACAAACAACAACCAACAAACCACAAACAACAAACAACAAACAAAAATCAACAAACAATAAACACAACAACAACAACCACCACCACCACCACCACAACCACAACCACAACCACAACCACAACAACAAACAACAAACAACAAACCACAAACAACAAACAACAAACAACAAACCACAAACAATAAACAACAAACAAAAAACAACAAACAATAAACACAACAACAACAACCACCACCACCACAACCACAACCACAACCACAACCACAACAACAAACAACAAACAACAACCAACAAACAAGAAACAGCAAACCACAACAACAAACAACAAACAACAACCAACAACCAACAGCCAACAACCAAAAACCACAACCACAACACCAACAACAACAACAAACAACAAACAACAAACAACACACAACAAACGATAAACAACAAACAACAAACAACAAACAACCACCACCACCACCACCAACAACAACAACAACACCAACACCAACACCAACACCAACACCAACACCAACACCAACACCAACACCAACAACAACAACAACAACAACAACAACAACAACAACAACAACAACAACAACAACAAAACAACAAACAACAAGCAACAAACAACAAACAACAAACAACAAACAACAGACAACACACAACAAACGACAAACAATAAACAACAAAGAACAAACAACAAACAACAAACGACAAAAATAAACAACAAAGAACAAACAACAAACGACAAACACAACAACAACAACAACAACAACAACAACAACGCCAACAACAACGCCAACAACAACGCCAACGACAACAACAACGCCAACAACAACGCCAACGACAACGCCAACAACAACGCTAGCAACAACGCCAACAACAATGCCAACAACAACGCCAACAACAACGCCAACAACAACAACAACAACCACAACAACAACCACAAACAACAACCGCCAACAACAACCACGACGACAACGACAACGACAACAACAACGACAACAGCAACAACAACAACAACAACGACAACAACAACGACAACAACAACGACAACAACAACAACGACAACGACAACAACAACGACAACGAGAACAACAACGCCAACAACAACGCCAACAACAACGCCATCAACACCGCCAACAACAACGCCAACAACAGCGCCAATAACAAACACCAACAACACCAACAACACCAACAACACCCACAACACCAACAACACCAACACCAACACCAACAACACCAACACCAACACCAACACCAACACCACCACCACCAACAACAACCAACACCAGCAACAACACCAACAACAACACCACCAGCAA